AAAATGTTGCTGCATCCGGGGGAAGACTTGAGGTTTACGGAAAAGATTCAGAGATCGACAGAGACGGCCGACTAAAGCCGAATTTATTCCAATTCGCTCGCACGAATGTATTTGTACCTTTTAATTAATGAGACCTATATACTCTCTTCTCTCCATCGTATGTAACATTAAACTGATTATCTATATCCTTACTCCATATTTAGAATCGAGAACGATCGTATTCGGAGCTGAATGCACAAGAATTTTTAATATAATACGAACATATGCGGTGAATATAATTAAATGCAATTTTTAAAAATAGATTCAATTGCAGCATTCCATTTTACAGAAATTCATATTTCATTTTATGAAATTTCTATGCGCAAGATATCTCGTGAAGTAGCGATTTTTGTAGAACGAAATTTTTAAAAAACAGATTGCAGCGATTTATTCACGGAGAGAACAGTTTTCCTAGCGAATGTAAAAATTTCGCCAGATCCGAAGATAATTTTGTTGAACCATTAAAATTATTATGCTTAAACACGATAATAATACTGCAAAAAATTTTGATCTTCTAACAATCAATTTAAACGCCATACATAATAATTTTAGAAAACTTAACAAAGTTATTTTCAGATCTGGCTAAATTTTTTTCATTTGCCAGCAAATTCTTTCCATATCCACTCGTAACATCAAATCAGAGCTTTTTGTTGTGACTAATTTATTTCATTGTATATCTCCATCTTATTTACTCGAATTTGACCTGTTAATTCTCTTATTTGCTTTTACAAAACAATCTATAATTTTATTTCTTTTTTATTTTAGAACTTCATTATTAATCACTCGATCAAACATTCGTTGGTGAATCAATTGCATAATTTTTGCCGAGTGCTCCTCATTTTTTTACATATTTTCGTATCGCGAATTCTCGTGCAAAATTTTTATATTTTATTCGGTCTCTCGAAGAAGGTCGGCACTCGTTTACGTGATCGATTGTCGGATTGTCGTCGCGATGCCGATAGTCGTGGAGGGAAAAAAACTATTCCAACCCCGGGGAGGGGGAGGAGGAAAACGACAGAGCAAACTCATACCGCGCACTTACATGGAATTGGTGGTGTTCCAGTACATGCTGATCGTCTTCGCGCAGTTGCTCACAGTCGACAGTAGTACCGTTTGCAGACACACGAGGAACACCAGAGTCACAAAGGACGTGGAAACCATGGTAACAACGACGGTGGACGACGGGGACTGGCGCACCGTCACTTGGACACTCGTACTCGGTCAACAACAACCACCGGCACCAACCACGAGACGTGAGGAGGCACAGCACACCCTCGCTTGCACTTTCGCTCGTGACTTCCACAATAACAAACCACCAACTTCTTCCACCACTTCCGTCGCACCTCCACCACATCCACACTCCACACTTTGGCCGTATTCTAAATCCTCCCTTTTCGGATCCCGGCGACGTGTATTCCACCGCCTTGTCCCTCCCGCTCGTCGCTCACGCCGTCATCGTCGGCGTCCCGACGAATCCCGAGTGGGGAATCCGGAGTGACGAACCTCGGCGGGTTCTCGACGCGTTCCTCGACGTATGAAGAGGGATCACCGTAGATTCGATCCGCCGCGTCTCTCCAGGTCGGAGCGATCACACTCGATTCGCGTCTCTCGGCGCGCCGTTGTCGATGGTGTCCGAGGTAGCGCCGGTCCCATGGAGCCAGCCTGTGTTTCTCTCGGGAGCGCAACACGCCAGACGGTTCATTGGTTCAGTTTTCTCTCCTCGGGATCCCTCAGAGAGAGAGAGAGAGAGAGAGAGAGAGAGAGAGAGAGAGAGAGAGAGAGAGAGAGAGAGAGAGACGACGACGACGA